CCCCCCCCTCGCCCGCGGCCGGCACGCACGGCGTAACGACAACGTAATGCACCGGCTGGAAACAAAAGACGGGCGGGTCTGTAGCGGATCGACTGGCTATTTCCAGCCCCGCTCGGGCGCTCTGATACGTCCCGGTCCCGGCGGAGGGGCGGAGCGATGAGGTGTAAGACATCCTTGAGAGGGAAACACCTTCGGGGGATCTAGGCCGGACCTGTTGAAGGGGAGAAGCACTTATCCTCCAGACAGAAGACCAAAGTTGGTGCTGGGTTTGTGGTTTCCGAAAATCGGTTCAATGAAATTTCAGCACATTAAAAATTATTAGTGCTAGATGTTATGCAAGTGACTCTCAGCCAAATCATTAAGTAACGAATTGTGCTACTGTGGAACGGCGCGTTCAGTTTATTTGATTCATCGCAGAGACCGTCGGCAGCCGGTCGACGGCTTTATTATCGGCATGCGCCGAGCAAAAGTTTTCATTTTTTTTAGTACTTAGAAGTTTTCTTTAATTGTCCATAGCGCTCTAACTGCACTACTGCGTGAGTACGCGCCGCCGGCCCAGTCCGCTCTGGAACTTGCCTGCTCCGACCAACGCGTCACGGTGCGAGACTCGGGCAATCTTAATTCGAGCGTCCGTACGCCTTACGGTTTCCTATGGAGATGAGACGCAATTTCGATCCGGGTCGGTGGGACTGACGCTGCTGACGCGCAACAGAGCACGGGTATGTGTGGGTGTACAGGCCCGTTGCACACAGGTGCGTGGCTGCACTGCCTACCCAGCACGGCGTCCTCCTGGTAGGCAGGCCCGTTGCACACAGGTGCGTGGCTGTACTGCCTACCCAGCACGGCGTCCTCCTGGTAGGCAGGCCCGTTGCACACAGGTGCGTGGCTGTACTGCCTACCCAGCACGGCGCCCTCCTGGTGGGCAGGCCCGTTGCACACAGGTGCGTGGATGCAGTGCATACCCTGCACGGCGTAAAGGCGCTGCGCTGCGCCGCGCTCGCTACTCGAGGTCGTGCTAGCCCGGCTGGAGACCTCAACGCCCGAGTGGTGCCCTAGTCACCTCCACCTCCCCGAGGCGCCCTAGTCACCTCCACCTCCTCCAGGCGCCCGACCTGGCCTGGCCCGCCCGGCCGCCCCGCCCCAAGGCAGCGCGACAAAGTCCAAAACCAGACAGCCTTGAGCCGGCACACATCTCGAACCTCCTGGAGCTGGACTGGGGCGGAGCAGTGCGGAGCAGCGGCGTGGCCGTCGGGCCCTCTAGTCTACGTCCAGGGCTGTCCTCGCGGGGTCGCCAGCGGCGCGTCACCCCGGCGATGAGCAAGCGAGACCCGGCTCGCCGACACTCGACAACCGCAACGCCGACGGTATCGTGCATCCACAGGTGTCTACGAATCAGCATCCATAGCACCACACTGACGGTGTCATAATCATGACAAGACACTCTCCCAAATCCCTCCAATTGATCACGATTGCGTCTTTTGAACTTGTCAAAAGTTAAATCCTTAGTCTGGGTGTTTTGACTGCGATGCGTTCCAGCTCGGTGTAATTATCTCTGTCGAGGTCTCTGTAAACAGAAGACTTGGAATCTTGTCTCAAAGAGAAACAAATTAAGAAGTGCAGCGAGTGGTGTTCCCCGGGGACGTCAGGCGCGCGGTGGCCCTCCTCGCACCCCCCCCCCCCCCACCTCCGCACTCGTACTCACCCGCGCTCATCTACGAGCCGCTGGCGTTGGCCCCATGACAGTCCTCCCGTCCGCGCTGAGGGGGCCTTCCCGGGCGGCAATGCATGCAGTCCACCGTGAGGCACTGGAACACCGCGGAGGAACGCCCCGGGGCGCGCGCAGCCGTCGAGCACGGCACGAAATATGTCAGGAGCGCGAGGCCAGCGCAGGCCTGGGCAGCAGCAGCAGAGCAGCAGCAACAGCGCGGTGTAGGCGACGCGAGGCGCGCGTGAAAGCGGCCGACAGTTGACTGCGCGGCGGCGCGGCGTGGCGCGGCGCGGTGGCGGAGGGAGGGGCGAGCAGCGAGCGCCAGCCCGGGGGGAGTTAAGCCCCTTCCCCCTCCCTATCCGCCTCACGGCCCCCTCGACCAGTTGCCACCGATATCGGATATGAATGGTTCTCTCCTCAGAACAAAAAGCGCAACCAAAGATGTTCATTTGTGGCGTCTTCAGAATCCGGGAAGTTGTACGTACAGTGGATGCTTGGGAACAGGGAGGGACAGTCCACAGGGGCAAGAGCGAGATCCTGCCGGTGTGCAACTGACCTACTTTCAGGGGCTGTGACGTACGTGACCGACAAAGTGAAAAACGGGCGCCAAGCACAAAACTTTGGGATCGAAAATGAAAACTAGCAATTCAGATTTAAGTTTGACTGTAATAAACCAACAAATGTTTTCAAACATACAAAGGCACATTATAATAAATGATTTGTGGTAATATTTACATGGTACAAAGATAATATACATAAAAATCCCACACACTGATATAAACAGCTATCAAATTTACACTTATGACATAGTTTAGAATAGTTACGCTTGTAAACCTTGGACCAAGTTGCAATGCCGTGAAAGAAAACTGCTAGCTATTTATATGAAATATACACAAAATCTAAGCATTGCATTGGTTCATCAAGAAAAACTTTAAAATTAAAAAAAATTTACATAGGTACAGTGTTTATACAACCATAACAGTGATAAAACTGAAAATTAGAACTGGTAAAGCTATGAACTGACCTTGAGTGATACTGACTTGACTGCCATCACAATGCATGTAGATTGAGATTTGAGAACAAACCAAATGATATCCCATGTGTAACTTGAAGTCTATATTAATAATACAATAATCACATAAGTACTTCTAATGGATGATAGCATAGAGCAAGTAAATTCATACTTAGAAATTCTCACAATTAACAATTCATTGAAATATCACTCTTTAATTACAGATGTGATGGCACAAACAAAATCTCTTCAACATTAACAAATGAGGAACTTTTCTGTGCCATTGTACATTGATGAGAAACTCAGACAAAAGCCATTGTCATAACATATTTTTTTTTAATAGAATGAGATCAACTAAACCTAGAAGTCAAAGGCTTTGGTCCTGTATCATTGCACTTAAAGTTACTTGCATTAACTGCCAAAGAAAACTTGAGTTACATTTAAATAGAAAAATATTTTAGTTTCTTTGTTTTCAAATAGTGTCTCATCAAAAAGTGTAGCTCTGTGGAACTTTTTACATGAATCAGTCATGCCATGTACAGAACAAGGAAAAAAAGAATAATTAAAAGCACCAAAATATTTTGGACTACTTCAAAATAGAAAGAAAACACTGATAATTTTTTAGATCAAAAGCTACAAACAGTCTTGAAATTGAAATAAAAAAAAGTCACTGCTTCTTGAAACTTTTTAAAATGGGATAAATATTATCAAACGCATCATAAATTTCTTGTCTTACTTTAGCACCTGTTAATACCACTTTACCAGAAACAAATATTAATAGCACAATTCTAGGTTTAACCATACGATATATGAGACCTGGAAACAATTCAGGTTCATAACTGCTGAACTGTCCGTGCGTAAGAACCAACCCTTCTAGGCGAATAGGGAACTTCACATCACAGCTGCCAACCATGTTCTGAATTTTGAAGTCCAAAAATTTAGCCTGGAAAATAGTAAGAAATTGTCAGATTATGAAAACCACATTGTAACTGATTCAACTTAACAAAAATGAATACTAACAGGAAATCCAAGCTTTTGAATAATTCTTGCATATTTTCTGGCTGCTAATCTAGAATCTTCTTCACTTTTAGCACCAGTGCAGACCATTTTACCAGAACTAAAAATCAGGGCAGTAGTTCTTGGTTCTCTTATCCTCATGATAACAGCTGCAAATCGCTTTGGATTGTATTCGGCATTTCTTGCATGAAGAGCAATCTTTTTTAACTCAAGCTTACAATTAAGGTTCACTGTTGAAACAATATTCCTAAAATAAAAAAAATGTTGAGAAAAACATAACCCAATGTACTGACAAAAATTTCAACTATGAGGAAAACTTACTGTAACTGAGGAACAATTCCAGGATCTGCAGAAGCTGGTGTCATAGGGGTCATGGGACCAGGCGTTGATGGACCTATTGAAGGTATGGGTGGGTGACTTGGAGGTCCGACCATCATTGGAGACATCATGTTTTGCTGAAAAGATAAGAAAATAATTTACTTATGGCAAATGGAATAATTTGATGCAGCACACATTGTGTATTTGATTATATTATGTAAATGTTCTAAGCAGAAGACGTTTCAGCACTGAACGATGTATAATTAAAGCTTGTGATGCACACTAGGATAGCACACTTTGATAAAATTTAACGATTGATAATTTTTGAAGAATAATCATGCACAACGGATCCTACTTACTGGTGTCTGAGGCTGCATCATACTATGAGGTGTTTGAAATCCGGCCACTGAAGGGGCATAAGTGTGCATTTTATGAGGAGTCATCATTGAGGACGGTCCTCCCAAGGAAGGAAGACCGCCTCCCATGCTGTTTGAGGACTGGAGATTATGTTGCTGTTGTTGTTGAGCATGTGGAAGGATCATTTGGTCTTCCTCTGGTTGATGAAGAGGGGTCCCAATACTTGGGATGCTGAAAGCCGATGGACTCGGCAGCATTTGATCCATGTTGACGTTGTATATTTTTCACTTTCACTATAAACTCAATACTCCTATACAATCAATCACGAAGTTTGCCTTTCCCTTGCCACCCCGCAAAACTCAATCGTTCACGACATTTTCTCAATGAATGAGTACGATTCGGTGTCGTTATCGGGCAGGCTTCAGACATCACAACACAAAACCAACCAACCTCCAATTTTTCTGCGCCTTTCCGTACTGAAAACAAAACACACCGATCTACAAGCAATCTTCTTCAAATCTTCTCCCTTTTTCCTTACACCCCAGACCGGAAGTGCTACCGCATCGTCCCTATACCAACCTTGTACCAACGCATTCTTTGTCATCTTCTGGGCCGTGAGTAGTATGGCGCGGTTGAATGTTCTTTCAAGTCCAGAATTTTAGCCCAAGAAATTGTGTTAATTAAAAGATATTCGACGTTGTCATCGGATATATCTCTGATCAGACAAGTAAAGCAAGTAAGTGTCCATCCTCGTGCTTTGCCCGAAGTGTGAGAAAGCCGCCGAGCTCTTTCCTATTGTTCAGCGCCCGGTGCCTATTTACAAGGTACACCTCCCATGTTCCGTAGAACTGCTAGCTCTAATTTCTCTCATGCTCTCACTACACTTCACTCAATATTTGTCGTGTGTTTGTTAACACCGTTTTTTTGTGGTCCTACTTCGTGCGTGTCTTCTGAATATTAACCTTCAAAGTACTCGTTTTACCTATTGTGCAACTTTGCCCACCTTTCCACCTGTTCGTCCCCTGTAAGGCTTGTGGCTACCTCAGCACTTCCTTGTTCTCATTTAACCACTTTCACTGCTTTCACCATCTCTGTTTTTACCCACTCTTGTATGATTTAATACCACCTTTTTCACTTTAAAGTCTTCCAGCTATTGCCTTCTTTCCTAAATATTAATTATTGTTTCAGACATCATGTGTGACGACTGGGATGATGGAAATGCTCCAGCAAGTAATACTGAATGGCAAGATTCTTTCCGTGGGAGAACAAGAGGAGGCCGTGGTGGTGCTAGGAGAAATGATGGTAATCGCAATGGTAACTGGCGAGACAGAAACAATGAAAATGACAGTCAACAAAGCCAAGGATGGGGAGGACAGGGTAATGGTTCAAGTGAAGCCACAACTATGAATGTGGACTCTCAATACCTTGGACGTATCATAGGACGTGGCGGATCAAAAATAAATGAGCTGCAAGACCAATCTGGTGCTCGGATCAAGGTAAGTTGTTATCTAATGTTCAATAGTCCCAATTATTTGGGCGTCCACCTGCTGAGAGGTTGTACAAAGTTTTGTTAACTTGATGTTTCTTAGGTAAATCGTGATGAAAGTACTGTTGTCATTTCTGGATCTCAAGAAGCTCAGGAGAAAGCCAAAGAGCTCATAGATGAAGTTATCAATTCATCTGATAACCGTAGAGGTGGTGGAAACAGTTCATATGGTGGGAATAACTCATATGGGGGTAACAGCACACATGGAAGAGACAATTATGGAGGAAGTAGTAATTACGCTTCTGCTGACATGTCAGAAATAAATGGGCTCTTAAGTCAGCCAGCTCCTATGATAGACTGGGACTCAATCAACAAAGCACATGTACGTATTTTATATTATTATTGATTGAAATTACCGTCTGTCTTTGTATTCCCTATTACTTATATACTTGATTTTAGGATGAGTACCAAACAAAACGCTTGGCATCTCTTCCACCCATGATAAAAGATTTTTATCAAGAAGATCCAGAAGTGGCTAATATGTCCATTGATGAGGTAGAAATGTACAGGTATTTGTCGTTATGTTCAGTAACTCTGCTTAGTAGCTCTATTTGGAGGACTTGCAGCTCCATGGCCAAATAATAATTTTTCTAGGAATTTCTTGTCCAATGACACACCCTTTGTTCTATTTTTCTTTTTAGATTGGAGAGTAATAATATTCAAGTGGGATATGTTTTCAAGGATACAGGCAGAAAACCTATTCCAAATCCTGTCAAGACTTTTGAACAGGCATTCCATCCCTACCCAGATATTCTGACTGAAATTTACAAGCAGGGATTTTCTAAACCCTCTCCTATTCAGTGCCAGGCATGGCCTATTCTTCTTAGTGGACAAGATATGATAGGAATATCACAAACAGGTTCAGGTAAAGCCAGATGTTTATCTTTGTTATCTTTTCTTTTCTTTTCTTTTCTTCATGATAATTCTTAATAAATTACGTATCTGTATTAATTTCCTGGCACTTTTTTCTTATTTTATCAACAGGAAAGACTTTGGCTTTCTTGCTGCCTGCCCTAATCCATATCGATAATCAACCAATTCCTCGATCTCAACGTGGTGGAGCCAACTGTCTAGTACTGGCGCCCACCAGAGAATTGGCTTTACAAATTGAAAAAGAAGTCAGCAAATATAGTTACCGAGGAATCAAAAGGTCTGTCTTTAGGGGTTATTCATTCTTTTTTCAATCAGTCTATTTCCTGTATCCATCTATGTTGTAATTGTTATAATTCTTTTCACACCAGTGTATGCGTTTATGGTGGAGGAGACCGTCGCGCTCAAATGAATGTCTGCAAGAAAGGCGTTGAAATTATAATTGCGACTCCTGGGAGATTAAATGACCTCTGTGCTGCTGGTAAATATACATTCCCTGCTTAATTACGAGTACTCTAAAATACTTGTTACCTCACTATCTTTAATGTCCCCTTTCAACAGAGGCGATTGATGTGTCATCAGTCACCTACTTGGTACTGGATGAAGCAGACAGAATGCTTGATATGGGCTTTGAGCCTCAGATAAGGAAAACTCTTCTTGATGTACGCCCTGATAGACAGACTATAATGACTAGTGCAACTTGGCCTGAAGGTGTCAGGAGGCTTGCACAGTCATACATGAAAGATCCTGTACAGGTTTTCATTGGCACCCTAGATTTGGCTGCCTGCCACTCAGTTACTCAAGTGATAGAATTAGTTGCAGAGGAGGAGAAGCAGGATAAGGTAAGAAGTGTTCTTTGAATTCATATCTATGTTATTTAATTTGTTGTATTTGTCATTAATTGATGGTTGTCATGGATTTCAGTTGATTGACTTTCTTACAAGTATGGGGGAAAAAGACAAGGCTATTGTCTTTGTGGGAAGGAAGACTCGGGCAGATGACATTGCATCTGAAATGGCTTTGCAGAATATCTCAGTGCAAACCTTGCATGGAGATAGGGAACAGGCTGATAGGGAACAGGCCTTAGCAGATTTACAAAGTGGTGAAGTCAATATATTAATTGCTACTGATGTTGCCTCAAGAGGCATTGACATCCAGGATGTTACGTAAGTACAAGGAATACACTAGGTAATTCCTGATATATTTCCAGTCTTATACCACTTTCTGACTTTGCTCATTCTCTTTCCAGCCACATTATAAATTATGACTTTCCAAGGAACATCGAAGAATATGTTCACAGAGTGGGGCGCACAGGTAGAGCTGGTAAGACTGGCACAGCTATTTCATATTTCACTCGAGGCGACTGGGGTAGTGCCAAAGAATTGATTCCAATTCTGGAAGAAGCTGCTCAGGTATAGTTTCTCAAATGTTCTGTTATTCTAACTTTTAACTAAATATTTCATGGTAGTTTGATTTTTGCATGATATATTTTTGTTACAGGAAGTGCCTGAAGGGCTTTTCGAAATGGCTGAGAGGTTCGAAGCTATGAAAGAACGTAGAGCAAGGGAAGGTGGAGACCGGAGAGGGGGTGGTGGACGCGGAGGTGGACGGGGGAGGAGAGATGATGGCGGTGGATTTGGAGGTGGACGCGGAAGCGGAAGAAGAGATGATGGCGGTGGGTTCGGAGGTGGCGGATATGGCGGTGGCGGCAGGAATAAATGGTAGTTTTTCTCTGCACATTCCGCCATAATATTTTTATTCCTCCAGAATTTATGGAAGTATGGATCTTGCCTTATTTTACTAAGTTTGTATTTGTAAATTCAGCTGACGCATGTATTTCTTCTATCCGTCCCTTTGTAAGACTTGTTACTATAAATCAGTATTCTTTGAGATAGACAATCAATTCAATTTTTTAAATATTGTGACTTCAGGGTTTGCATCATTTCACTTCCTATTGAGACCAAAGATAGAGAACATGTGATAGTGTCCAATCCCACAGGTTGAGATTTATCAAACATCTCTTTGCTCTGTGGAGTAAAATATCTTTGAATTGTTTAACAAAGTGTACATGAAGACTGAGCAACAAGTTCAAATTATTTTACATTGATGGGAGGTAATACTGCCACATAGAATTATTATTTTTTCTATTATTTTCAAATAATAAAATACTGTCTTGTTTCATTGAGTAAAATTTTATTGATGTCTTCCACCAAACACATTTGATTGAAGAAAAAGCAAACTACAAGAGTTAGTGATTGAAGATTTCTGTTTCTTTCAGAACTGTCTTAAAACATTACATGCATGCATGCAATCAAAACTTAATACAAGTTAAAGGACACATGTAGAGTCAGGATCCATAGGGCAATAAAATGCCAGACAAGTCATCTCGTCTCCAGTTTTAAGATGTGGAGGTGTACACATAATAATCTTTGCAACCAGTGTAATGCTCAGCAAAAGACTTCCCCAAAGTGGTTGGAGAAGAGAAAGCAATTTCTGCCAATGACAATACATGTCCAAAAATGAAGTTTTTCCTGAAATGCAAAGTCAAACATTAGCGCCTTCACTTTACATTAATATTAAAAAAAAAAAAACAGCAGCTTGGAAAATACCTCATGCAATCCATCAGGTTACTGGCAATGTTGTTACGCCTGTGGGGCCGGTGAACCCAAATACGACTCACACCGCACTTTACAGCATATTCTTCAGCAGTGCAGCAATCTATACCTTCAGTTTCAGCAGCTGTTGGTACCATCTTGTTGGCTTTCTTCAAGGGAATAGCCAAGAGACAACCAACAACACTCTTGTCAGATATGTACAAGTAAACCTAAATAAAGGACATACAAAAATATATTTAGAACAGGAGGTATAATATCAGTATTTTTAAGTCTATGTTTACTTCATTCCTTACCATTGAATGATTTGGGTCACAGGTCACGCCTTCAGCAAATCCAAGATCTTTATCAACCACATTCAGAATTTCCATTGCCTTATTCCACCAAACTTTTGGATCACCAGGTCTTATTACAATCACTCTGTTTCTTCCATACTCCCCAACAACATTTTCATTTTTCCAGCCCTACAAGAAAAAAATACATTGTAGTATTTAAATCAAATAACTTCCGTACAGATAATGAAGCAGATAGATTTGTTGTAATGTAATAGAATAGGATTAAATGACCTTCAGTAAATAAATGTCTCAACAAAATAACTCAACCATCTTACCATAAATCTAAGGTCTTTCACAGCGTCATGGAACTCCTTGTGGGCAAGCTCATCTTCAGGTTCGCCCATTTGATAAATTGCTGAGCAGGTACCACATTCTGTAGCACCGAATCGCTTCTGACCGGCATCAAGTTGATACTGATCATTTCCGATAGCACGCAAGAGTGATCTCTTACGTTTAGCCAAAGTGGGTGAAAGAGGAACTCTGAAAAAATACTTTCTCATTTAGCCAAAAAAATAAACAAACTGTATAAGTCAAAACAGATTATGAAATTTCTCAAATTCTCACTTTTGATGGGAAAAATTGCTGCTGAAGATAGGGAAGTATTTCACTGGTGTTGATTCATTTTCAGTGGCTGAAGATATCACATTTTCTTTTGCTTCATTGATTTCAGAAGTCTCTTCAGGAAGAGGCTCACAAAGGGGAAGGTCATCATCTTCCATGACTACATCAGGTACTGCAGTTAAAGCTTTAACTTGAGCTTCAGTCAAACGTAGCGTATCCCCTCCAACATTAATACTTAATGTGGATGTGGAGGAGGCAAGCTGGCTCAGAGGACTCATAAGGCTCTCAAGTGATTCCGGAACCCTTACTGGGCTGCTTGACACAGGTGAATCAGCCTACAACAAAAGGACAAATAAGCTGAAAAGATTAGATTTCAAACAAATATCATAAAGCTCTATAGTTGAAGATATAGGTGTACCTTTCTAGGAGCTGAGGCCACTAATGGCTCTTCAATTGTTGAGATTTCATTCACAGGATGGTGTGGGACTGCCACAGCAGGTAGAGATTCAGGAGATGTGCTCTTGTCCTCTGCCAGCTTCTCTAAAATATTTTGGACTTCACTTCTTGTACTGGCTGCAACATCCTGGAAAAAAGAAAGAAAATACATAAGTAGCAAACACAAACAAAATTAGGAAAATAACTAGCTGCCAATGATGTGACAAATCTTACCTCCTCGCTGTCATCAAAGGAATTAATTGCTTGGATGTGTTTGTCTTGGTTGTACAGCTGTCGTCTGCGCTTAGCTGGGGGTGCTGGTGTTGATTTATCCACTGTAAACTTCCCTTTATGAACCTTGATTCTAAATAAAAATGATGCATTAGTATAAAAAAATAACATTTTAAAGCAAAAATAAAAAAAATGCAAATCACTAGAAAATTTACTTAATATTTTTGGAGAGAGTAATAGTAGCAGAACGAGGTTTCCCTCTCTTGAAAAAACGTTTGGAGGGATCTGGTTCTACATCTGGTTCTGATTCCTCAGATTCCTCAACTTCTTCCTGAGGCAAATTCCGTTTGGATCGGACTTGAAGAGAAGCTGAAGCCGACTGGGAAGCTATTTCTTCATCTGAGAGTTTGACTTGTTTAGCAAGAAGACTCATCTTAGGTATTTTGATGGGCGAAAGACTTTTCTTCTTAGTGGTAGACTTTGGTCCAACATCCCAAATGGACTTGATTTTTCCTTGTTTCTTGGCAGAAGAGGAACTGACTTTTGCCTTGACTTTAGGGGGTCGACGTATTCCTGTTTTAACTCCAGCATTAATTTCTCCATACACCTTCCTTCGCTTAATGTTCCTCCCAGTAAGATAAACACCATCATCTCTTGGTCTTTTAGCACCTGAAGAACGATTTCCAATGGAGAATAAAGAAGTTCGAGCTTTGGGCAATTCTGCTCCAGCACTTCTTGATCTAGATTCCAAAGAGACTCTTCGTTTTCTCTCAGGACTGTGAGGAGAGGTTGATGTAGTAGATCCAGAACAGGATGCAGGCATACTGCGTCGTTTGGAAGGAGTCAACGGTTGCGATGGTGATACATCAGACCTGGCTCTGAACATTTCCTTGTTGTGAGGAGTTGTTCCAGGGGTATGATCTGGAGACTCTGGACAGTCACTCTCACTCATAACAGAGAGAACTGTTTGCTCTAACTGATCAACTGGTACAATCTCACTTAAGTTATCCAATGTTTTCAATGGTTGGCTATGACCAACATCTACTCTGGGAGTTAAAGGGGTAATCTTCTGGCCAGAAGAACTTTCAGTCTTAAACTTACTCTTTTGAGCAAAGAGTAATGAGAACTGCTTGCGTGGAGATTCTCTGGACAGTGCCTTGACAGCTGACACCTTGCGACCAAATGGAGACACAGGTAGAGACAGCTTCTTTGCAGGACTGAAGGTTAAAGAGTCTGGTGACGCTGGAGCAGAACTGTATCGGTCTGGTGAGGAACCAAGAGGGGACATGTGACCAAGATCACTTGTCTGAGGGCTTGCTGAAGGAAACAATGCTCTTTTTCTTTCAGATCTACGAGGAGTAGATGGTTCCGGGGACAGCAATTTTTTGGGAGTTTCAAGCTCCATCATGGCATCTGGGAGAGCTTGGCAATCAGCCATGGTGACTGCTGGAACAACAACAATTTCAGTATAGGTGAGTTTACAAAGCTAATGGCAACAGAACCAGAACTTGGGAATGTTTTTGATTCAATACGAAATGGTGTCCTATGTGTATTACTTTTGTACGGTTAGGTCGGAAATAAAGACGTACACAAGATATGAAAAGGTTATCCCCGGTTCAAAACATTCAAATAATTTCTCTACAGAGAATAGAAGATGAGATAAATGGAGGAGGGGGAGGGGCGTTCAAAAAGATCTACCTTGCGACGAGAAAAAGAACACAGAAAAACTACTAGGAAACAATGGACAAATAGGCTCAAATGGTCCGGACGACGCTTGTTGCTTGTTGCTTCACCGGCGAAGATAATACTTTAAAGGTTCATTTTGAGTAAAAGGTTGTGCCGGGGAGATATATAAGGGACAATTAGAATTGTAGCACAAAAATTACACACCTCAACCTCGAACAAACTTAAACAAGCCGATGTGAAAAGCATTCAAGCATTCAAGTAAACAACAAGATGAACGTGCTGAAACGCTACTTGTTCCCGCGTGAAATCAACTGTTTTGAAAGAGATGCTGTATGCGCCTTCTAGAAGTATCTACTCTAAATGGGTCCATAAAACCATAAATCGGTTGTCAAATAAATCTTGAGAGAATAATAATAATAAACAATGGTTACTTTATTCAACGAGAAGACAATTTAAAAGAAAGGAAAGATGTTAAAGTTGTTTCGAAATCTTGATACGACATAGTCGGGAATTTAATTTTATGTTTGTATAGCAGCGGAAATCTCGTGAACTACTGTTTGGCGCGCTTTGCCGAGCGCACGCGCGCTTTCGCTGAAGTACTAGAAACTGTTTATACATAGACAAATACTTAATCAGTAGTAGCAGAAGACTCCTGGTAGTAGTAGATTTATTATTATTATAGTTACATGAAATACACATTAAAATGAAATATACATGAAAAAACAACGAAATAATTTTAAAAAATAAATAATTATTGATGCACAAAAAAACAACAAAAACCCAAATCGCTTAATGGCGCTGAACTGTGAGTAAGTTTAAACTGTCTCAGGCCGTCGTTTTCTCTGAATACACTCTTGGCACTTGACGTCATCGTGACCAATCGCGATTGGAATTCCCTCGTTCCTTGAGGCTCATTTTGCTGGAAATCAACTGGAGAGTTTTCTCCTTTTCACCTCTTTCCTGGTTGACACCTAAAAACTCAGCAATCGGTCTTCAAACAATACAAAGTAGCCCCAGATGACGGTATTTTTCCGAGGGATCGAATGGAAACGGTTCTGTCTTCAACATCGAGGCGCTTTCTTCAGCAAAGTTCTAAGTACACCTCTCGGTTGTTGATAGCTAGTTCATCTTTTTCGCCTCTTTGGCTGTCGTGTAGTTTTTGATGTAGAAGTCCGCGAACATGGCAAACATGAAGCTTGCTTGCACCAGCAGGACTAAACACCAGAATCTTTCAACTTCGCAATTAGGTTGTAGAAATGGTAAAATATTATGAATGATCAAAATAGTAAACTGAGTCTGTGAAAAAAAAAACAGTGTTCAGAAAAAAATCGTTAAGATATCAGCTTTTCGGACATCATTCAATTACGTACCAACTGCAGCAAGGTTATTGACTTCTTCACTCCTAAACTGGGACGACTGTTGGGGAACAACGTCGTGTATAGGTAATACGAGTACATGACGATGTGCACAAATGAATTGATGACACCGATTAAGGTCAGACCTCCATCTGGGCACAGAATTACAAGATCGGATTAGGATCGCGCCTGTTCGCGCCGGCAAAAACCGCCCTTTAAAGACGGTGCAATTTATTCGGACAGTTCGAGCTATCTCCGGGCAAAAAGAAACGTGGATTCCCAGGCAGAAATTTTTCCTACGATATGGTTTTGACATCGGTTTTCACGTCGTCAGGGATACTATAGTGGGGGGGGGGGGTCGATGTCGCTTTGACGTCTTTTGTCTTGTCGAAAAGCCACACTGATTGTTGGCCCCGCTGAACCGGGTGTAACTGAGAATGCGCAACAGTGTTGCGGGATTGCATACCCGCCAGGGCTGCAGGGGCTGGGTAGGCAAACCCGCAGCACTGTTGCGCATTCTCAGTTACACCCGGTACTTAGTATCGCTAACGACGTGAAAACCGATGTCGAAACGATATCGTATAAAAAAATTCTGACTGGGATGTGACAAGCCTCAACGGCCACAACGACCGGCACAAGGACTGGCTGCCATGATGGTTCACAGGTTCTTTGCAGATTTCTTCTTATCCAGAGATAACTCAAATTGTGTGGATAGCCACTCACTTAAAATAAATTTGCAGCCTAGATACCCTCCAAATACCATCGTACTGTGGTGATAGACATGGAGAAATGAGACATGTCTATCTTTCTTCCTTAAGACAAAAAATATCTGTGGAAAGAGAGAAGGCTTTTTGTATTACCCTGTAACAATGATCAGTAAGTGGTTGTTAAGGTGCCACAAAATCTCACCGTGTCCAATAAATCCCAGACTTTGAGGGCAGCGTAACCCCAGACCAAATTTGCATACTGCATAGAGTAAGTAACGGAAAGCGGTCATTAGATGTGACGTTACCTAATTTTAGGAAAATCGAACCTAGTTTTTTTTACCTCGCGGTTGTCCTCCGTTTCTTCCTTGTCGAACGGCTGGCAGAGGAAGCTGTAGTCCATCTTGAACCACAGCTGGACGCTCTGCGACAGAGATAGATGCACTTGTCATTGTGAGTGGGCGATCCGCTGTCGAGAAGTGCACTAGAGTGTTTGCTTACGCGGAAGACCAGATAGGTGCAGATTAATATGTTGCTCAAGTTGTAGGCGGCGACGAGGGGCTCGATCTTGTACGGCGCACGGTTCGCCATGAACCGAGGGCCCCACCGCTTGACAATCAGTAAGTACACGGCTATGATCGTGATGGGCACCAGGATCGAGCTTGTTATGAACCAGTCCTTGGATCGAGGATCTGCAACGCAATAAGTGGGCTGAGAATTGGAGCGCCCCGCATGGTGTGAGCGATTTCACTGTTGTAAAGGGCGCGCTGCACTGACCCACGTGTTTCTGGACAACCTCGTACAGGTCGGCCATCTGCTGGACCAGCTTCGCCATGGCGGCGGTGTGTGACGGGCGCTGGCGCTGGGCGGCGGGTGAGTCTGGTCGGGACTGGTGGCCGCGAGCGCGGGGGCGTCGGCGTCGGCAACGAGGCGCGCACCGCAGTACTGGCGCCAGTCCGCTGCTCGCACGGGCTCACGGGCTCGCGCGGCCTAATTTGTTAATCGAATCACTTGTTTACATTAAACCGGCGAACTAGGACCGGGCGGTGTACACCCTTATACAGAAGTGTTTTCCGGATTCACACTAAACGCTGCATTTTGCTGTGGAAGATTTTCCCAAGGAGGAATTTGAACCCTGACTGTCAGCATGACGTTAAAATGGTCCCCCATTTTGACGTCTTTCGGCACTCATTCTGACGTCATTGTGACTCATTATGACGTCTATAAGTCAAACATTGGTCACAATGACATCAGGATGAGTGCAGAAAGACGTCAAAATGAGGGACCATTTTGACGTCATGCTGACAGTCAGGGCTCAAATTCCTCCTTGGGTTAGGCCAGCATAATTTTATGCACAATTTCATGCACAACTGTGTACAATTTGTGCATAGTTATATACAATTCGTACATAATTATTTTGCATAAGAATTGTGCATACTTATGGCTGCCTAAAACTCTGTACGCTTATGCACACTAAAGTGAAAGGGTGCCAATGGAGAAACTAATGTTACCGAGGGAACGTTTCAGCACGTGACCAAGCCAGGTAACGTTTCCTGATGAAACCTACCCCATGCAAAAGGATAGGGCCATCACAAACAGGTTGGATCACCAAACGTTTCCTGGTTTTGTTGCGTCAAGAAACGTTCCCTCGGTAATATTAGTTTTTCCAGTGTGGCGTCCTATCACCAAACGACAAAAGCACTTTGTTGAATTGGGGCTTTTCAGGGCCATTTCCACAATACCTGTACCTTTTGCTCATGGTGATGCGTTTAAGCCCCATGCAAAGTTGACGTCATGGACAGACGAAACGGTCACATGTTTTGATGTCATGTCAGAAATTAGTCAATGTTCACATCAGATCGAAATTGAAATGGACCTGAAACTGACACTTTTTCTGGTATCGTTCCGATTGGTCATCTGATATTTTATTTCTCACTGGGATGGATGCGTCGACTAGAGACGCATTAAGTATTAAGTTAACCTAATACCCTCACGGAATTCCCTAGTCCATCTACTCGAGGCGAGCGAGTCGGCCCAGGTCAGGGTCAGCTGACTGGGGCAAGGCGACCCGCGGCAGCTCGAAGGTCAAATGCGTACACTCTCAGCCCGTAACTGACGATTCGTAAACACTAAAATCTGATGAACATTTTAATTCATAGCTTACTACGTTCTGAAAACATATGCCCCGGTTAAGCATTTTTTAAATACGCTCTCTAGTATGAGGAAATTTGTTTAGCCATAATTATATGCACAATTTCACGCATAACTATGTCCAATTTGTACATAATTTTGCATAAGAATTGTGCATAATTATGGGTGCGGAAACTTTTGCACGCTTATGCAGCACACCAAAGTGTATAACAAAAGTATAGTGTGTTATTCTCTACTTTATTGAAGAGCGTTGAAAAGTGTAGATGCTGGCAAATCTGTTATGCTTTACAGCTCGGGCGACTCGAGGCTAGCCTGTGTGTCACGGACTGGCATTTAGAAGCAGTTTTAGAACTTTCCTCGTGTGTGCGTACCGAAAACGCGACAACGCCCGGAATCGTCCGGAATTCATTTCTTTTCGCAGTTTATAGCTATTAATTGGGGATTTCCAGGGGCATTTCCACACTACCTGTACCTTTTGCTCATGGTGATGCATTTTAGCCCCAAAGTTGACGATAGCCTTAATGGCACTAATTCTAAAAATAGGACAGTTCGAAAGCACTAATTGAGCACTAAAAGATAAGCAGTAGCACTAATTTCTAGCCTGAGTGGGCGGTGCTCGCGTGAAGCTGGCACCGCCTACCTTGGTAGCACTAATTCTGGAAACGGTACAGTTTGAACGCACACTAATTGAGCACTAAAAGATAAGAAGTAGCACTAATTTCCATCGGCTATGGGTGGTGCCAACTTCACGGAGGTGCCGAGTGCATACTATAGAAACGCCTAATAGGTAGGCAACGCCTCAGTGCATTGCTGTACTGCGGGCTAGCCTACCTCTGCGACGCCCCTGCTCGTAGAGACACTGTTATCGCTACACGTGCTTCATGTTCTGACCGCTGCGGTTGGAAGCGGCTGTCCCCGCGATCACATGAGCAACCAACGACTGCCGTGAGGGGAGCTCACTCCCCACTTTATAGATTTTTGATCTATAACGTGATCGGAAAGAAATATCCTTTTCAATTTCGGTTTCAGTTTTTAACTCTAACTTTTTTCGTCTTTTTGATACTCCTAATACTTCCACTACGCGGTTGGAGCGCGGTGAATCCGGGCCGGAGGACAGATCTCTCCCTTTTTCTTCTTTTTTTTTTTGGCCTGGAAGTACTTACACGTGCCCTGACAGCGGCGCCCCCTTTGAGAGACCTCCCCCCTCCCTGGGGCGTCCTCCCAGGGGCGGCGGTGGCAGCGTCCCGGGTGTCCTCGCTGGAGCACTGCTTGATGGCCTCAGAAGCGCGGGGCGGCGCGGCTCCGCCCAACCCAGCCGGCCGGCGCCCCACAAAGCACGGCTCGCCCGCCCCGCCGGC